CATTAAACTGCCATAAACTAATAGGATTTGATTTCCTTACACGTGGCGAAAACGTAATAAAATAATCTAAAATCCGTATATGTTACATCATAACGTAAACTGTCCATTTCGATCGATCAAATGATTATGTTCTACATCGATGCTGCAAAAGATTAATCCAAATATTAATTCCACACTCCTTATGCTAATTATATATTTCATAAAAAGTAAAGGAGAGAAAGTTTCAACGTAAATTAAATAGTATACGTTAACAGGTACTTATACTGCGATGTAATAATAGTCGCGGGCGTTTCGTCGTTTAAACAAATTTCTGTTCTTCCGTGTACAATAAACGGCACTCTGCGCAGTTTGCGATTTTTAAAATGCTACAAATCTCTTGTATTGGATCACATTTAAAAATAACAATAATATCACGCATAAAAAGAGGACACATCTCTAAAAATTGAATAATAGTGACTGGATGAGACAACTTCAGTCAGGAAAGGAACAAAGAGAGAATATTGCATAGCGCAGCACATAGAAGTTCAACACCCTGTCTGTATTCCTCTACAAGCAAGATAAGAGAGAATCTAAGTGAAAGCTTTAATTTGAAATCAGATGCCTCCAAGGGGGTGGATCGGGGGGTGGAGGCAAAGGGACTGGTTACGGCCGGCAATGGCTTCGTTTCCTACCACCTTCGTTACCATCTTCCTCTTCACCACCTCGTCTGACCTCTGTATATCGTTCACCTTTCACGCTCACAATCTTGTTCTCCAGATAGCGCACTAATTTTTTCGGTTCCGTTTTCGGAGCCACTGGGCGATGCTCGCGCGAATCATCGTCCCTGTCGACGTAACTATATCTTGCGATGATACGTGATTTCAGTTCCTCGTCGTTCAGTCTAGCCCTGTTGCGACCATTTGGCTGCCACAAGATAGCGATGTTATTTTATACCGTTTAACTAATCATTGATAATTAACCTCATTGCTACTACGCGTTTCTACAGGCTAGTTAGACTTTATTCGTAACAGGAGGGTGTATGAACGTAATACGACGCAAATGAGACGGAAGTCTCTGAGTTGGTTTCATAGACGAGTATATTATTATTTGAAAATGAAAACATACTTGAAGATGACAAGAATTATAAATTAAATTTTGCAGAAATTCAGTATCAAAAATACACTTGATAAACAGGTGACATTTTGATACTGGAAAACTGGAAAATGAAATGTAAACCATATTTGATAAAAAGTGTAAACCATATTTGAAAAAAACTATGATCTAAAAAGTTTCCTTCAAAATGATATAGTAGAATACTTACTGTTACAAATGTCAAATTACTAGCAATGCTTTGTCCTGCTTCTTGACGATGAAGAGCAAGCTGAGCAGCCTCTGTAATATCACCACCAGCAACAGCCAAACAATGTCTAATCTCCGCTGGACTTGCAGCTGGGAACATTTCTTGTAATAATGCTACTTGATGCCATGATGATTCCTGAATAAAAAAAATAGTAGAGAATAGTGGTTTAAGATATACTTTTGTATTGATAGATAGTATTTTCAAATAAATAAACAGGTATATACAACTTACTTCTTGAAAGTATTCTCCACTGGAATCGCTTCCAGCATCACTTGTTTCAGAAAGATGATGTACTCTCATCCTCTGTGTGCCAGGCGGTAGTAGAGCAGTCAGACTAAGTTGACTTAAAGGATCTTGAGGCTGACAATTTTGATTTTCTTTACTCTCCTCCCGTAACTTACTTTCAACGTCCAATAACCACTTGGATACTGCTTCCTTTTCAATTTTAGAAAATTCAGGAAGACAAGCAGATACCATTTCACAAAGTCCATCAACATCCAAGTCTTCTTCAAGCGCACTTTCTTCCACCATACTCACCACATAACCCAGAACAATATCATCTATTAAACTGTAAAAAGAATGATCATTGATTAGAAAAAAAAAGGAAGGTGTAATCGTTTATATATTTACTTCTATTTAATCATATATGGATAAGAAATAGTATCTAATATTTATTTACCTCAGCTGGGCAGTAGGCACCTCTTTTCTCACAAAACTAAACAAGGACTTCTTTACCAATTCTTCTTTCTCATCCATTGTGCGATTCATCCTGAAACAATCATATTTAAAATTATTTATCAATTAAAGACTTCTTTAAAGCTTAAATGTTATTACACGCTATAATATTTGAGAAAACTGTTGAAACTTAATGTAAAAAGCTGTATTAAGTCTTATTAAACAATGCTATCATAAAGCAAAACCGTTTAACAATAAAAATTATTGCAGACATAGTAAAGATTTGATTTTAATTGGCCATTATTAAAATAACCAATGAAAGAAGTAAATTTCTATTACATTTCCGTCTTTCGTAAATTATTTCGGAAACGTACAAATTTACATAAATATTTGTTCGGTTCAACTATTAAATAATACTAGATCAACAGATAATGTCAAGAAACAAAATTTACACTCTTCGAAATGTACAGTATTAAAAATGTATCTTAAAAATAAATTTACATGTCAAACAAACAATTCAAATATCTATTACGATCACTTTCAACTATAATAGAAACAATTACCTCCTCAATCTGTTAACTACAAATTGATTAAAACGAAACTCTCGGCGACGAAGCTGCCAAAACTGTTCAATCTACTGCGCGATAAATTATTCACAATTGAAATTCATCAGCGTGGCACGTCAATGTGAAAATTTTGTTTCAGCAAATCGTAGTTTTATAAGCTGAAATCATGGTTTAATGGTTTACAGTCCAGTTAGGTTAAGAGAAATAAGGTGAAACGAAGTGCAAAAAGTCTCTAACGAAGTTAAGTTCGGCGAAGAATTTAATGGGTCGTTAGTTTTCTGTGAATGAGAAGAAATTACATCTGACAATGTGTTAAAACGCAGAAAATGCATACAAGGGGTGTAGAACAGAGAAATGGAAAATGGACAAGGAGAAATTGACAGGAAAGGTGGTAGCAGCGCCGGTCATTTCCAGCAGAGAACAATCCTGTTCATCAACGGGAACAAATATGTACCATGATCAAACGTCAACTTATCTTGCTACGAAAATGCAGACGAATACGCACCTGACGTTTTTTGCGCGTTTGAAACCCTCGGACCGTGGATATGGCAGAAAACTGATAAAAATTTCGTATACAAACAACGTTCCTCGCCTTGACAGTTCGTCAAGAGGAGGGATGAAGATAACGTGGCGCCATCAGAGTTTGTGACCCACTTCGGAATCAAATCAGCAATTTCTACTACGAAATTGTACTGTATTCCTTATTTACGGAAAATGAAAACTATATACATATTTGTTTACATAGTTCTGTAATATATATGTACACGCACGTATTATATTACGTTCAAAAAGACGTGAACGTACAACTTTTATCGGTACGACAATATCGATAATGTAACCCTTAAAATATTTGACATGTAAATATTCACTTATGTACAGTAAAAATTGCATTTTGAGAGTATGTACATATATCGTACTGAATTAAATTGTATACGAATATTATCGACTAACTATAACACGATTTTATTTCTGAATACGTGAACTATATATGTAGAATGTGACAAAATTGTTTCAGTGAAAGAAATCGAACGGGTTTAATTAATTTTAGATTTCTAAATTAATCATTTTGTTCATGTACTCTTCAAGGAATATATAACATTAAAAATGTATTACGTTTAATGAGAGTGAATTTTTTAAACTTGTTGAATTTCGAATACACGATGTGCAAAATTAGCGATAATAACATATACGAAATCCTTGGATATTAACATTTATGGAATTGTATATGCACTTTAAATGTTAAAAATTTGGTCAAATAATACTATTAAAATATATTGATT